ATATATATATATATATATGATATATTATAAGGGCTGTTAGGTCTCTGTTCGACCGCTGTCAGAGCCTGGTCTGCATTGCCGGCAGTGAGTATTAATCAGTTTCCTGTGAGGGTTGGACTCCGCCAAGGTTGCCCTTTGTCACAGATTCTGTTCATAACTTTTATGGACAAAATTTCTAGACGCAGCCAAGGTGTTGAGGGGATCTGTTTTGGTAGCTTTAGGATTGCATCGATAGCCGGATTGGTGCGGCGTCTGCTGTGAAGCGTGCCCTGTACCGGTCTGTTGTGTTGAAGAGAGAGCTGAGCAAAAACAAAGCTCTCGATTTACCGGTCGCTCTACCTTCCTACTCTCATCTATTAGTGTAAGGTGTAAAGCAGATGAGGATCTGAGAGCACAGGAGGGGGTGTGAAGATGGATGATGGTCACTAGAGGAGCAGATATATCCCAGAATTCTTTATGAGAGCTCTCCTCACAGAGCATTATGGGATTTGTTGTGACCACAAAGATGGTGCACGCACCATGCCAGGAGGCGGAGTCAGGGTCAGGGAGCGAAAAGTAGTGATCATCTCTCCGAACGGTAAATTAAGTGAATTCACTATAAATTCCACAATATAGTCCCAGGACTCCCAGCTCTATATACAGTAGTGATTTAGGGGTTAGGGTGGATGTTCGAACCCAGCCATATTTTTTTGCTCACTAAAATCTGATTTTTCACGACTTTTCCCCACTTAAACACCAAGAAACTGGTGTTTTATCATATAATTTTTGGGTATTTTTCATTCACTTATTACAACATTATCTGTCTTACAGACACATGTTTCAACAGTGATCCTGCTGACAAAATTTAGGTCTAACTCTGAAATTGTTGTTTGACAATAAAAAAAGAATCCCTTCCAAGAAAATTGACATAAGAAAGTTTTTTTTGTGTATCTGCTGTTTTATCTGGTGTCATGGGAAAAAAACAAGTTATTGTCATCATGTACCTTGGTATTCAATAATTAACACAAAGCCATATTGATTTTAAATCACACACCCTCCTTTGGCAAATCTATGTGGTCAAACAGCAAAGGTAAGAACATAGCACAAGCAATACTGAAAGAATAACGCTATATAATATCATACTTGGAAACACACATTATCCAGTTGAACTATGAATTATGAAGACCCAGGAAATAAACACAGCAACATAAAATATATTTACGGTATACAATTTTTTTTTTCTTTTTTACTTCTCTTTTACTTTAAAAGTCTTCAAATAAACTTCGGGTTCTGACAGTTTATATATATATATATATATATATATATATATATATATATATATATATATATATATATATATATATATATATATATATACAGGCCGGGCCGTTCTCCACCAGAATACCCTTCTCTAAAAAATAGTAAACACCGGGGTGACCCCAGGGAAATCCCACGCTCGGCCAATCTGAGCAAAAAAACCCAGTATTGAATCTGACAATTATCATTACCAACTAATTAAAGAACCTTTAAGCCAATCAAGTTCTGAGTCTTCCTATATAGAGAGTTTTCCTATATCAAAGCAAAAGTGGCATAAAACCTGATCTTGGTGTGGGTCGAGTGCAAAATGTTTACATGTTTTTCATCAAAACAAATTAAAATAAATCAAACACATAAATGAGTTAAAATCAAGAATTATCCTGGTCCGAGTTAAAGGCAAATGATGAACATCACTGTTGATGATGAATTTTTTCAGTGTGTCTATCACTCATCAATCTAATTAATCAATCAGAGTCTCGTATGGCCTCCTCCACAGCCCCTTTGGTCTCCATGCTGTCCGATGGCAGATAGATGCTGAATCCACATGGTGGTTCTCATGAATTGTTCTCATCACAGTTCAGCAATCCATTCCTCCAGGATCGTCCGACACACAAGAAAGTGCAATTACTGTTCTCAAAGTGACAGTGTCTTTACAGTAAATTATTTTTTTACTCGAAACCAAAGTGCAGTCACAACCAGATATTCTTATCCACAATTTATTTCACTGCTGAGGCCCAGGTTGCTTTGATAACAGCCTTCGGATCATCTGTGGTGTTGGGTTTCCCATCTTGCTTATTTCAGTATTCTGTGGATTCTATGTGGGCATCAGGTCAAGACAGTTTGCTGACCAGTCATACATACACTATGATAAGCTTTTGGTAACTTTTCCAGGGTGGGAGGATGCCAGGTCCTGCTAGAAAATAAAATCAGCAACCCCAAATAAAAGCTACTGATTTAAGTGCTTTAAATGTTTCTTATATATACTGACTCACTGACTTTTGTCCTTTCAAAGCATACTGTACCAGCGGATGGCATTGCACCAATCATCACTTGCTTTTGAAACTTCTCTCTGGTCATCAAACACCTTGGATTCTGTTTTCTTCCCCTGAATCTTGGATATGAATTTGCAATAAAAAATTATTTTTTTTCATTGTGTATAAGAGTAATAATTTGACATGTAGAGTAAAATGTTTATGCATCGTATTGTTGCACTTAAATATATAATGCAAGTCACATATATGTACCTAAATTAAATCCATATTAGGTCATTGATATGAAATAGTTTAATGTTTCATCATCATTAAGCCACTGTTCTTGTTTTTTCACTGATAAAGTAAAATAGAAAAATGTAAGGCCGACTGTGTTTTCCCCAATCTAGCCACCAGGTGTCAGTAACGTGCTGGATTTTAACACATTTTCTCCTGATACCACATGTAGGGGTCTTCTTAATAACACAAAG